CAAGTTGTGGTATATGAATGTGATGGAATACTACTGTGCTGTAAGAAATGATGAGCAGGAGGACTTCAGACAAACCTGGAAAGACTTGTATGGACTGATGCTGAGTGAAGCGAGCAGAACAAGGAGAATGTTGTACACAGTAACAGCCATGTTGTGCAATGACTGACTTTGATAGACTTAGCTTTTCTCAGCAATGCAAGGATCTAAGACATCTCCAAAAGTCTGATGATGGAAAATGTTATCCACATCCAGAGAAAGAACTATGGAGTTGGAATGCAGATCGAAACATACTATTTGCTCTTTTTTTTCCTTCTGTTTTATTTTGTTTCTTCTTTCTGGTGGTTCCTCCTATTGGTTCTAATTCTTTACAACATCACTAGTGTGAAAATATGTTTAATAGGAATGTATAAGTAGAGCCTATATCAGATTGCATGCCATCTTGGGGAGGGGGGAGGAAAGAGTGGGGAAGAAAATTAAAAAATCAAAATCTTACAGAAGTGAATGTTGAAAACTAAAAATAAATTAATTATAAAAATAAATAAAATTTAAAAAATAATGTAAAGGTTTATTTTTTTTGCCTTTGCATATTACAAAGTGAAAAAAAAAAAAGGAAACATGAGCTCCCTTCAAAACTCAGCTCAAGAGATCATACAAATGGGAAAAGGACCCACATGTACAAAAATATTCATAGCAGCTCTTTTTGTGGTGGCAAAGAATTGGAAATTGAAAGGATGCCCATCCACTGAGGAATGGCTGAGCAAGTTGTGGTATATGAATGTAATGGAATACTATTGTGCTATAAGAAATGATGAACAGACTGACTTCAGAAAAACCTGGAAAGACTTGTATGGTCTGATGCTGAGTGAAATGAGCAGAACCAAGAGAATGTTGTACACAATAACAGCCACGTTGTGCGATGACTAATATTGATAAACTTAACCCTTCTCAGCATTACAAGGATCTAAGACATCTCCAGAGGCCTCGTGATGGAAAATGCTATCCACAACCAAAGAAAGCACTATGGAAGTTGAATTGCCATCTTTTTTTTTCTCTTCTGTTGAGTTTTGTTTCCTCTTTCTGATGGTCCCTCCTATTAGTTTTAATTTTTACTTACAACATCACTAATGTGAAATTATGTTTAATAGGAATGTAAATGTAGAGCCTATATCAGATTGTGCACCATCTTGGGGAGGGTGATGGGGAGGAAGGAGGAGAAAAATTTTAAAGTAAAAAACATATAGAAGTGATTATTGATAAATCAAAATAAATTAATAAAATTTAAAAAAAACCCCAACAACAACTCAGCTCCAAAGTCATGACAAGAGGTCTCTCTTCATTTCCCCAGTTAGTGTTCACACCTAAAATGACCTGGTATTGATTTTGTCTGCATTTACTAATTGTTTCCCTCCAGCAGAATATAAGCTCCCTGAGGGCATGAGCTGCTTAATTTTGTCTTGTATCCCGGGCACCTAGCCCAGTGCCCTGAACAGTGTAGATCACAGACACTTGTTGATAAGAGTTGAACTGAACTGAATTGAATTGAATTGGATTAGGTCTGAAGTTTACTCACACTGCATCAGGGGTCTCCAGAGGGGCTGTGTGGGGAGCTAAGCATGAGCTCTAACCAAAGTGACAGGGAAGCCCACATGTCCCCCCCCCCAGTGAGGGGGTAGAGCACCTCACCCCCCACCTGACCTGCCAGCATCCTTGGAGAGGCTGGTGAAACAATGCCTGGGACTGATCCATCTTGGCCTGTGACTAACCCCAGTGGGCTGCTGGTCTTGGAGTCAGGAAGAACTGAGTTCAAATCTGGCCTCTGACACCAGTTGGGTGACTCTGTCTCTACCTCTGTTTCTTCCTCTTCCTCCCCACCCTGTTTCTATCTGTCTCTGTCTCCTCCCTCTTTTTCTGTCTCCCTGTCTCTCTGTCCGTCCCCCACCCCTAAGCCCACCTCATAATTCTGGTTATAGCTTCCAGATCTGGATTTTTTCTGGGTCCTTAGACCCTAGGGTGGGCAAGTCTGCCCTAAACTGGGGTGCAGGTAGAGATTAAGGCAGCTAGTTTCTGGTTCCTGGATCTCTGTTGCTTGCTCTGCCCAGTTTAAATTACTCGTAGGAGGGGATTTCAGGCCCACCCCATCCATCTCTGACCAACAGAACTGGTCTTGCTTGCTCTAAAACCCCCTCTTCCTTCTTCCTGAGCTCCCTCACCTGCTCCAACCTCCTGGGAACAGAGATGAGGTTGGAAAAAGAAAATTATGAACCGTGGGGTGGGAAGGGGCTGCCAGGCATGTTGGGGTCCTGAAAGGCCTTGTCTGGACACCGGGGATATCCTTAGGGAGGGGTACCTTGCTGTAGTTGTTTCTGGCTAGAGTCCAACTGGTAAGGCTGGACACTGCTGGACAACACCCTAGCAGCTGCAGCCCAAGGACTCCTCCCCTCTTATTATCCACTAGCTGAGGTAGGCATCTTGACCTCCTGCTCCCTGAAGAGGCCTGGCCTCTGAGGGCTGCTCCCTCCCCACACCCTGGGGTGGGTCTCCATCAGCCACTGATAAAGGATAAAGGACTGATAAAGGACCAGAGTTGACAGTCAATGAGGAAAATGAGATAAAGTAAATATCTAGGAAAGGGCTGAGAGAGCCAGAGAACAGAAAACAGACAAGGTAGAGGGAACTTCTGGGGTTATCCAAGAGAATGTTGTCATCCCGGAATTCTCCTTCCTTCTGCCCAGCTGGATCCAGGCCTTTGTCAAATTCCTCTAGCATCCTTGTATCAGACTGAAGTTGCCCATTCCCAAGACAGTGTGCTCTTCACTGCCCAAGACCTCAGGGAAAGGCAGGGATGGGGAAGGCCCTGTATCCTGCAGGCCTCCCCCCACCCTACCCAATCAGGAACAGCAACCCCCAGCCACCTCAGGTACAGAGGCCAGGACATTTCCTCATGGTCAAGGAAACCACATCCGGCTCTTTTATCCTTATTGATGAGGCAGTGTCAAGAAGAAAGACCTATTCACCCAGACCTGAGCCCCAACCCAACTCAGGGAGGAGGGGCCGTGTCTGCTCTGGGTGTACCCCACTACAACCTGTCCCCAGCAGACCCTGCAGCTTCTGGCCTCAATCCCATTCTCTTTTCTTTCCCTTTATCAAGGGCCCCAGAGAAGGGGGTAGAGGGGGGGGGGGGCTCTTTTCAGCCTCAGAACTTTCTCCAGATAGGAACCTAGTCTTTATTTATTTATTCATTTAGTTTCATTTATTTATTTATATTTATTTTATTTATTCATTCATTTGTTTTGCTTTAAAAATATTTTCTATAGCTTTATTTATTTATTTTTCCATTTAGTATTTTATTTCCCCCCAATTACATATAAAAACAATTTTTAATATTTGTTTTTAAAATTTTGAATTCCGAATTCCCTCTCTCCTTCCCTGTATCCCTCATTGAGAAGGCAAGCAATTTTATATGTGTGTGTGTGCAAGCATGCAAAATATATTTCCATATTAGTCATGTTGCAAATTAAAATATGGAACAAAAAAACCCCTAAAACACCAAATCACTAAGAAAAATAAAGAAAGTAAAAAAAACATGCTTCAATCTGTATTCAGACTCCATCAGTTCTTTTCTCTGGGGATGGATAGTATTTTTCATCTTAAGGGACCTAGGATTTAGATGACATCCACATTCCACAGAGAATGTGGCAATTTCTGTGGTCCTTTGCACTAGAGTTAAAAAACACAGAATTTGAGAGTCAGGAAGGCCATCTGGTCCAGTCTATACCTAAAGAGGAATCCCACCTCTACTATGTCCCTCAAGTGGGCATCCAGGCTCTTCTCTGAGAAAGGAAATCCATGACCTCTCCAGGCAACCTATTTCATAGTTAAGTCAGGTTTTGTGGGGATGGGCTGGAGAGAGGGAGAGAATTTGAAACTCAAAATTAAAAAAAAAAGTTAAAAGAAAATGTTGGGGGTTTTTGGTATCAAATAGAGACTGTCTCTCAGCAACCCCCAACCCAGAGGTCATGGTTCTGACCTCTGAGGCCAAGTAGAGCAATCCTTCTTCCACACGATAGCCCTGGAAGACACCGATCTTGTGACACCGTGACCCCTTTCCCTCAGCATCCCGTCCCATGAGAGCTGTTGGGCAATCATCTGGCTTCCCCAGGAAGCTGCTGCTGAGGAACGCTCTCTCTTGTAGATCAATGCTGAAATAACAGGATTTGGAAACTTTCGAATCTGGGGTAATTTCCAAAGATGAGAAGAATGAACTATAGCCCCAGACCTAGGCTCAGAAAAATAAACAGGTGGAAGAAGGAGGTAGGTGTCCAGGAATTTCTTTCTCAGCCTTCACCTGCTATGTCCTCACTTTTTGCTTCTGGGTCTCAGGGGGGAAAAGGAAATTCCCATCCTGCTGCATTCTGGAAGGGGAAACAAGAAAGATAATGGAAAGCAAAAGAAGCTGTATGCTTTTTTGGTGGCCATGACTTGGGGTGGCCCCTGGGCCTGCCCACCATTCTCAGTCACCCACATCACAGAGGCTCTTTGGGTCACTGGGAGCTAATGTGTGTGTTGGGGGGAAAGGAGTGTTTTCACATTCTTCCAGCCTAGGCAAAAGTTGGTATCTTATCATCTCATCAGACTGATTGAGCTTAAACTCATTAAATTAATTCTGGAGTCTGAAGTTCTGGATTCAGATGAGAACACTATCTGTGTTAAACTTTCTGGCTCTCAGTTGCATTGTTCATAAAATGAGGGCGCTGAACTTGGCTTCTGAGATTCCTCCTAGATCTGTGATCATCCCTTCCCTTACACTTACTTAAGAAATATATTATTGGAGGTGAGTGGAGCCAAGAGGGCAGAGTGAAGTGAGCATTTTTGTTGAGGGGTATCTGTAAGGGGGCAGATCTGTTCTTTCCTAATTATGCCAATTATATGGTGGCATACTCTCTGAGAGGATACTGAGATACCAAAGGAAGAGGGGCTCATACCAGGTTGGTTATTAGTAGGTTTTATTAGGGTTAATTAGGCTAATTCGGTTGGTTAAGAGAGTTTATTCACAGGAGGCCTGGGCAGATAACATTGAGCATTCCCACACCAATCTTGGGCCAGAACAAAGAAGGAATGGCCCAGAATCATGTGCAAGTTTTCCCATGGGATAGGTAGAATTTCTTTTGCTGTTTACATTTATTCAAGGTAGTTTACATTAATTGTGAGACTCGAGGTCACATTCTTAGGCTCTGGCCTACTGTGTGTGCTCCATGCCTGGTGATCATCTCATACAATCTTTCTGATAGTATCTTCCGCAAAGTTCTCTAAGAGGTGCACAAGTGGTTTCTTTAACATGGAGGAAGTGGTGGAGCCTATCCAAGCACAGGTAGGGGAACAACATGACCAGTGAGAAAATGACCACAATTGTTAAAATTTTCTTCCATTCCAACCCTAGGGAAGTAAAGGAAGAATCAATGGCATTTGGTAATTAGTGGGAGAACTGAATTTCTCAACTTAGTACAGAAGAGCTGAATTTCCAGACTATGTGTAGAGACAAAGAAATATGGCTTGAGCAATTTGACAGCATATTGGGGTGTGATCTAGAATAGAATCAGTTACAAAATGGAATCAGAATCATTTGATTTTCTCAATTTCTCCTTTTTTTTTAACGGGAGACTTGTCACAATTTTTCCTGACAAGTTAATGTAAAGACAACAAGATTGACCACTCACAGTACAAGCCATAGTAAGATTGCCCAGAGCTGTGGACTAATTTTAGAGGGGAATTTTACATGACACCAAGATAACTGAGAGTACTTGGTAGTACAATAATGACCATCAACCCACTCCCAATACCTATTTAATCAACACATTTCATCTTGGACCTCAGATGTCCCATGTAGTTGTCTGGTCTCTGGGGCACTCTGCAAAAATGTCTTATTTTCAGGGGAACCTCTTCAGTAGATTTGCTTCTCTGTTCCAAGTTACTTGTAGAGACTCCTTAGATGTTCCTGCTAAAACCTTTTACAAAACAGATCACAATTAAAATTGCCACAGCCTCTCAAATTTTATTTCTGCAATAACTAGCTCATGTGGTGAAAACCAGCTCAAACTTTATAATTCTAACTTATTAACAATAGAGCTATAAGGGGAAACATCAAATTACGAACCCATTGTTCACTTGAAATTTCAGAGATTTTAGGTCTTCTCATGCCCCACAGAATCACTTACATTTGACATACAGAATCGTCTGATCTTGCTGCTTTCTGTAAATTTTGCACTGTAATTAATTCCACTTCTCTTAGGAGGATCAGATGCTATTGAGGAGCTAGTCCTATATATGAAAACATAGGTAACAATACTCTTGGTAGGTACAGGCTTTTCACCCCTAGGTTCAATGGTTACACAAATGAATTTACCTACAAAAGGCTGACTTCAATTATAACAAAAGACTTGGGATAAGATGTTAGATATACTTAAGTAATTATTTCCCAATTATATACAGAAAACAGTGTATGTCAACTGAGTTGTTTGTAATAGAACACATTTGGTTGTTAACCATATTCAAATGGAATAGATATTAGACAAATATTACTCTCCACTAAAATGGTTGGTGGTACTGAAATTCTCTTCCTTAAAATAAAACAGAAGAGGTTTTTTACTTTTACCTCATGTATTAATAGATTCACTTCTTTGTTTCACAAACTTTTTTTTTTTATCCTTTATTCAATTATTCCCATAGGATTCTGAAAGAATGAGTTATTTCAGGGATTTAATCTTATATAAGACTATGTAAGTACAAGCAGGCAGATGACAAGCCTGAATACTAATTTACTTAGTTGTTTGGGATGTGGAATGACTATACATTTAGACTGAAAACAGTAAAATCTTACATACTTGCATTGTGCTCATATCTTCTACTGATCACTTGTTCTAATATAGAAATTTGCTATAAAAGGCAAAAATAGAGGTATGATTATAACAGCATTAAAACTGGTCCTTAATGACTCAATATGGCAGGATAAAGCAACCTCAGTTCTGTTTGACTTAAGGTAAGAGTCACATTTGACAACTAATCACGCAGTAACAATTCTACCTCATAACCAAACTCAGGAATAAGCAGGTGGGAAACATTACTGTTCAAAAGGAAATACTATAATGGGGGGAACCAAGCTGAAAGGATTCTAATCTTTGCCTATGCCAAGGTTGTCCTCTCAGCCTTTTCCTAGATACAGACCGCCACCTGTAACAGTTCAGGATCACTTTCCCTGTGAGTAGCTTGTGGTATTTCTCTCAAATGATAAGTTACTGACTTAATGGTCCATCAGACAACTATACCTGAATTCAAAACTCAAAACAATATCAGTTACAGTCCCAAGAGCTTTTACCTCAAATGGCAAGCTTCACTAATGACAGCTTAGGGCTAGATATAGTTATTTTTACTCTCATGGAGTTGCAATAAGCAATACAAATTTGCTAGGACTTACACACACATAAGAGATTTTTAACATTCTTCACTTGTTTTCCTTCTTCTCCTTGAGCTTAGACTCATCCTGCTGTAAAGGTCAATCATGAAAAGTCACTTCTACATTGTCCACACACTTGTAAATTCTGGGTAAGCCAGTTTCATTGTTCAAGAACTCTATAACCCACAACAAACTCTTTTCTCAGGGCTAGTGACCTTGCCCAAAGTTTCAGTTTACAGATAAAGGGGATTCTACAAGGTCTTTTCTTTGTATCTTTTCTTTCTTTCTTTTCTTTTCTTTTTTCAGGAAGACTCAACATTTATTAAGCACCTTTTGTGTGAAAGGCATGGTGTGCACTGTGCCAAGATAAAAAGATTAACAGAGACAAATATTCTGCCCTTGAGAGGGCTCAAAACATAATATGGATTTATGTAATACCAAAAAAAAAAAAAGAGATGTAAAATAAAGGCACAATGACCTCCACTCTTTACTGTTCCAAGTCTTGACCAGCTGTCATACCCACCTACCCCTAAACATAATTAATATCAGTTTTCAATTAATAGGCCACCTCTTTAATGATCAGGTTATTTCAATTACTATTAATTAGTTCTCCATAGAGGATTAACTGAACCCAAATAGATATGGGAAGTTAGGTCATTAATTCTTTGAAAACAGGGTACAAATGAGTTTTCAATTGGTAGGCCATCCCTTTAATGACCAGGCAATCCAATCATTATTAATTAGTTCTCCACAAAGAACCCTAACAACCCAAATAGATATAGGAAACCACTTCATTAATATTTTGAAAACAGGGCAACCCCTGAAGGTGATTAATTAATTACTTTTAATTTGCTGAAAGCCTATAAAATCAGGGCTAGCTATCCCTATCTTTATTACTTGGTATCTCTAATTTCCCCACTCCCAATTTGCCTGGGAATCCAGGCTGTCAGTTACTATTTTAGTCATAGTACTAGTAACCAAGACCCCCAGGCCATCCAGAAATGTCCAGCTGGGCTTTCTCTGCATGATGCATAAATCTCATTAAGTAGATGGTTAAAGTTACCACACTCAGCCACATCCTCAAGATCTTTTCCTACATGAGAAAAACTTCACATAGTATAAGATTTTGTTTTACTCAGGCCTCTTCCTTTCCAAGACAGAAACCACAAACCAAGGAACAGAATGGAATGGTTTTTTTTTTCCTATTAAGATGAAAAAAACAAAACTCAGAACTGGATCACTTGGCCCTTTCTCTTTTTTATCTCCTCCCAGTTCAAAATACTTACACCTGTTAATGGCAAGCATCCTCTTAGACCTGCAGTTGGATTCCACACATTCAAGCATCAGTAAAATCTTTTTTGTCGTCTTTGCCTTTTTCCAGAAAATTGGCTTTGTTTGACCGTCATAACCACTCTGCTTCTGATTGTATCCTCTTTTCCCCTGTGCATACAGGGAAACCTTATCTTTTTTGGATGCATCACTTTATGAGGCTAGTGCTTGCTACACTTTGCAAAAAGTTCTGTGGGTTTTAAGGATGTTTACTGAAAGGCAGCACTGTGCTTCCAACTGGTCTTGTCTGATGTCCAGCCTGCTCATAGACAAGCACTGGGCGGGGGAGGATGACAGCAGAAGCCTCTGTACCTTTTCTAACACAGTAATTACCAACCCCCTCTCCACCCTTTTCATAAATTTTCCAGTCCATAATAGAGTCTCCTCACTCAGTTATGGAACCAACTGGCAGGATTTTCATCAAGCTATTGCAGCTCATCTTTGGGGAAGTCAGGAGGGCTATTCTCTTGTTCTTTTGTTTCTTAAGTTTCTTTTGTTGTAGGGAGGAAGCAAAAAGTTCTTAAAATTCAAATTGAACATCATCTATTACAAAAATGGGTGGGAGTCTCGTATAAATTATAGCAATGTTATCAATTTCAAGATGTACACCAATTTAAAATGTTATTTTAAAATTGATCAGTATTTAACTTTAGTTTGTAAGACTCCCTTAGTATCTAATTGAATGTTCAAATCAAACTCAATTACTTTTTGATTGTTTCTTGATTCACAAACCTTTTCTCTTTTTGTTGTGAGCTAGGAAAGAGTGAATAATAATATAAGCAGGCAGTTTCTAAGTGCCTGGTCTAATTTTATTTTGTCGCTGAAACTTCATTGGCATCATCCCCAAACATGTCTCTCTATAATCAGTGAGATGAATTTCTTCTCTAGTCATTCTGGGGGGTGGGAAATGCTTTTAATTCCCTTAAAACAAATTCTAAAAAATATTAACCCAAATATTTGCTAGCATTTATTTCAACATTTATAAAAAAAGCATTCAAACCACCATATAGATCTGAGGGGAAAATTCCTTCTCTCTCTCTTTTCTTTTTCCTATCTGTTCTTCTATACTCCAGAACCTGGCCATAGTTCGGAAACATAAAAGAGAAAACATCTTTCTAAAAACTTAGAGAGGTTCACATTACTTGGCAAGACACAGAGAGATAGACTTACTAGCAAATTTTTTTCCTTCTATACTTTGTATGCACAATTTCAGACTCTGAGAGACACAAACATAGGCATAAAAAAACACAAAAAGATTGATAAGTGTGAGACAGTGGCCCTGATATCAAAAGTTATTTCTCCTTGCCTGCCTTACTAGATATCTCCAGGCCGTGCTGTCACACACACATATATAAATACACATAGCTTAAGAAATTCGTACCCTTTTAAAATTGAACCTGTCTTTTTTCTTGCATATTTTAATGACACTTTCTTTATCAATCATATTGCAAATAATCTTCGCTTTGAGTTTTTTCTCCTCTGCCTCTCTCCTGTCCCTCTGATGCATGCAATGAGAAAGGGAGGGAGCAAAGCAAGAGAGAGAGAGAGAGAGACAGAGAGAGAGAGAGACAGAGAGAGACAGAGAGAGACAGAGAGGCTCTTTTCTCTGTTCTTTATCCTATTTTTCCTATGCAGAGAGGGCAATTCCAGGGCCTTTTTTAGCTGTGCTGAAAGTTCTCATCTTTGCCTAGGCTATTAACCTTTTATTAAATAACACAAATAGCCAGCATCATATGGAAACCTATCAAGAAACAATCCAGTGAGAATTTTCTGGGCATCCCCATACTACTGTGTGTGAGGCCAAACCTTCCACATATGTGGGTGGTCAACACACCACCTCTCCTTCAGAGACGAGGATGGCCAGGATTCCTGCTGTAGAAGCCTTACTCCCCAATCCCTTTTCTCTGATATCCTCCTAACCATGCCAAAATTAGTGGGCAGATCTGTTCTGCCCTAATTATGCCAATTGTAGGGTGGCATCCAGAGGATACCAAGATACCAAAGAAAGAGGGGCTCATACTAGCTTGGTCATTAGTAGGTTCTATTAGGGTTAATTAGGTTAATGGGATTGGTTAAGGGAGTTTATTCACAAGAGGCCAGTTGTCCTGGGCAGCAGCGGGACAAAGCAACATTGTGGATCCCCACACCAACCCCAGGCCATGGCAGGTACAGAACAAAGAAGGTGTAGTGCCAAGGATGGCCCAGGGGCATATGTAAGTTTTCCCATGGGATAGCTGGAGCTTCTTTTGCTGTTTACATTTACTCAAAGTAGTTTACATTAACTGTGAGACTTGAGGTCACATTCCTAGGCTCTAGCCTACCCCTATATAGTATCCCTCTAAATAATTTAAAAAATGTGTCAAATTGAATTCTGAGTGGGAAAACCAGTGAAAAGTCACAAGTCATTTTTTTTTTTCCATCCTAGAACACCTGAGTAAGCTAGAAAGAGATCTGTGGAACAGTAAGGGATGATCTGGAGCATAGTGTGAGAGTTGTAGTAGCAGAAGTGGCAATGGAGAGCTCAGTGCACAGAGACAGTGAGGAGACTGACGACCTGGTCAGAAAGAGATTCCAGGGGGACCCCTCTGCTAAATAGGATTGTGCATCATTTGTCTGTTACCCAGTTTGGGGCCACAGTTTCAGGGTGGACAGGAGTAGTTGTGGTCAGAAGAGAGTAGGGACCGTTCTAGGAAAGGACCAGAAAACAAATAAGGAGGGTAGTGACCAGACCTCTCCCTGGATTACACCATCCTGGAAGCACTGAAAACTTACAGGCCCCCAGACCTAGCTGTGGAAACAGCAGGACATAAAAGTCATAAGATCATGCCGGATATTCTTCCTATGCCCAAGGTGAGCAGAGCCCAAGTCTAACATGCAGTCCTAGGTCAAGAAATAGGCTGGAAGAAGGAGCAAACAACAACCACCACCACAAAGAACCTGACCATAAGATCTACCATGGTGAAAGGGAAGCTCAGGACAAACTCAGAAGACAATGACTTGAAAACATTTGCAAGCAAGGCCTCAATAAAAAAAATGCAGATTGGACCCAAGACCAAGAAGACTTCCTAGAAGAATTTAAGAAAGAGCAAAGGAAAAAAAAATTAAAAACCAGATAAGAGTGGTAGAAGAAGAATTGGGAAAAGAAATGAAAGCAATGAAAAAAAATTATGAAAAGAGAATGAACAGCTTGGTAAAAGAGACATAAAAATAGTGAAGCAAATAGCTCCCTAAAAATAAAAATTGGCCAAATGGTAAGAGGTACAAAATCTCACTGAAGAAAATAATTCCTTAAAAATTAGAATTAGTCAAGTGCAAACTAATGACTTCATAAGACATCAAGAAACAATTTTAAAAAAGTCAAAAGACTGAAAAAATAGAAGAAAATGTGAAATATCTTATAGGAAAAACAATTGACCTGGAAATTAAGGAGACATCATTTAAAAATTACTAGACTACTTGAAAGCCATAAAAAAAAAAAGAGAACAGACATCGTATCTGAAGGAATTAGAAAAGAAAACTTCCCTGCTATCTTAAAACCAGAGGTCAAATTAGAAATGGAAAGAATCCACTGATCACCTCCTGAAAGAGATCCCAAAATGAAAAGTCCAAAGAATCTTATAGCCAAATTCCAGAGCTCCCAGGTCAAGAAGAAAATGTTGGAAGTGACCAGAAAGAAAACATTCAGATATCATGTAGTCACAGTCAGGATCACACAAGATTTAGCAATTACTATATTAAAGGAGTGTAAAGTTTGGAATATGATATTCCAGAAGGCAAAGGAGCTAGGATTACAACCAAGAATAACCTATGTGGCAAAACTCAGACAAAGCAAGAGAAAAAATAGACCTAATTAAAAGACATAATTGGGAGAGTGATTTTGTTAAAAGACAATGAACTGGTATAAACAA